TCAGCTTTGGTCAGAGAGGTTCTTTTGTAGTGGTCAGCACTACCTTCAGAGACTTACAGTTTTTCTAAGTACTTCGAATATGTGACTGAGTGCTCAGTCCTGAATGCAACATCCATACCAACTTTCCCAAAGTTCAGGGAATATCACGGAAGAAGCAGCAGAAAGTGTTAGAGCCTGAGAGAAGGGCTGTGATGGAATAGAACACTGCCTTCCAGGCAGGGCATGGCCTTTGCACTCTTGAACTTACCTGCAAAACATCTATCTAAGAATGGGCCTGCCACCATCATGTCATGCCTAGTAGTGGGGCTCATGAGAGAGAGGGATAGCTTTTCCTTCCTCCCTCCCTCCCTCCTTCCCTCCCTCCTTTCCTCCCTCTCCTTCCCTCCGTTCCTCCCCTCTTCCTTCCCTCCCTCCCTCCCTTCCTTCCTCAATCCCTCCCTCTCTCTCTCCTTCTCTCTTGGTGTAACCACTTCTGTAAACAAATCTGTTCCCATGGTCATGTAAGTAATTCTAATGAAACCTGTTGACTATATAAAAATAAAAATTAAGTGAAAAGATATGAAAATAGAAGAGAGGACTGGAGAGATGGCGGATGTTAAGAGAGTGCTTGAGAACTCTGCCCTTCCACAGGACCTAGGTTCCATTCTCAGCACCCGCATGGCAGCTCATACTGTCTGTAACTTCAGTCCCAGGGGGTCTGGTGCCCTCTTCTAGCCACTCTGGGTACCACACAAATGTATATGAACATATATGCAAGCAAAGCACCATATATATACATACATAAATTTTGTTTAAAGACATGAAGAGACTAGTTGGGAAGATATAGGCACTGAGTAAGAACAGGAGAAGAAGAAGAGAGGGTAACAGAGGCCACAGGAAGACAGAAAGTCTGGCACAAGTGTCTTGGCAGTGGCTAGATAGATCATTCAGTGGCTTTCTAGGTTATGTTCCTCAAAGGACATAATTTCCAACAAGGTTAAAGACCAAGTGATGCTTACATTTTTAAATGTGGTTTAAAAGTTAAAATTCCATGAGCTGGTTTATTTTCCTTATCTTTTGTTTATTTTCCTTATCCTTTATCTTCTTTCAAAAGAAGATTTTGAGAGTCTTCTTTTGTAGTTGAAACTGGAGGTTGGTTTCATGAGGCACACTGTTTTGATTCAGGGCCAAGATGACAGTGCCAAGCCACAAGGGTACAAGCATTCTGGCCTGAAAGAACCATGTACCTGTTGTTTTCGACATTGGTGTTTGAGAAAACACAGCATCGCCCCAGCCGGTCCTGGCTCTATTAGCTGTGTTGAAGAGTCTTGACTCACAGTCAGTAGAAAAGGCAAAGCAGATCCCAGAATCAAAGCTTCTCTCCCTTCTGTGTTCCCATGATGGGACATGCTCTGCTCCACCATGCCTTCCCTGCTGGGATGGACCTCAGCCTCTAAAACCGGGGACCCCAATCAATCCTTCCTCCATCAAGGTGTTGCTAATAAAGTTGAGTTCTTTATTTGGTCATATCAGCACAGGAGTAGTTATTACAGAACCATTAATTTGTTTGTTTGTTTGTTTGTTTGTTTGTTGAGACAGGGTCTCACTATGTATCCCAGGCTGGTCTTGAACTCACAGAGACCCACTGTCTTTGCCTCCCCAGTACTTGGATTCATTAGAGTAGCTTAACATTAAACCACAGCTGAGTTTTAACAGACACTTGCTTCACTCTTTTCTAACAACAATCCCTATTACGTTCTCAGCTCCACAAGGGCACTTTCCCCTGCTAGAAAGTCTCCTTGTGACTAGACAGTCAGTGCACGATGAAATGAAAACATCTCGGGGGTGTCTGGTTGGAACATGGTAAATGTCACAAGAGTATGAGGTCATGTGAGTGTAAGTCCAGTTTTGTGACCTATATTAATTTCCTATGATGCAGGCAGACTTATTTTGCTCACTGAATTTGGCGCAGGGGATTCTAATAATAATCACAAGGCACAAGAAATGGAGTGTGTGCCTTGGAGTTGTTGGATACAAAAAGAACTTCCTCCTTGGGGCACTCAGCTTTGTCCCACCCTACTACCCCCCCCACCCCCCACTCCACGCCCCTGTATCCAAACTAGAAAGGAGCAGGTGGTCTGTGCTGATTCCTGGTAGGTCTGGGCCCATGTGCGGACCTGCTCAAAAAACCCAAAGGGGTATTCATTCTGGGCCTCTTCTAGTAATATTTAGGATCAGGAAAAGGAAAGCGAGTTCTTTTATAATGCCAGCAGAGGGCGCAAGAAGGCTCATAGCACCTCTTGTTTCTTAGCAAATTCTATCTAGATGATCTAGAAGACATTCCCATACACAAGCTTTTTTCTTGGTATAGCCATTTAAAATGATGTGGTTTTCCCCAACAAAGAATTAGCCATTTTAACATGGACAATTATACAGACTAGAATCACACCCCTCACACCACACTAGTCCTGGTATGGTTGAGTTTTCAGGCAATCTACTGGTTTGGATACACTGGTGAGTACAGTCAGTGATAGGTTGATACTCAGGTCAGAAACATAACCCCGTTGGGCTCCTAGGAATTGTATCTTGGCCAGTTTCTTTCCTCCATCCTCCTTAAGACTTTGGTACAAGTTTTTACGGTAACTGTAAATCATTTAATTTTCATCTAAAGTAAAAATGAGGGGGCTAGAGAGATGGCTCAGTGGTTAAGTGCACTGGCTGTTCTTCCAGAAGTCCTGAGTTCAAGTCTCAGCATCCACATGGTGGCTCATAGCCATATATAGCAAGATCTGATGCCCTCTCTGGCATAGGTTGTACATGCAGATAGAGCACTCATATACATTAGATAAATAAATAAACCTTAAAAAATAAAAACAAAGTAAAAACGAGAAAAATTAAAGCAAATGATTCTATGGTATTTTGTACACTCACACTGTTGTGGAGCCAACACACCTAGTTTCAAAACATTTCCCTCACTCCAAAGAGACACTACACCACCTCAACCCTTATTCTCCTCTCGCACCTGCCAAGCCCAGTCCCCATCCCTGGCAACAACCAACTGCTCTTTTTCTCTTGGTTTACTATTTTTCACAGAAATAGAATCCGGCTTTCTTCTTTCGGCATGATTTGTGCATCTGTTGACAGCGTAGCACATCAGTACTTGATTCCTTTCCTTTTTCAATAGCATTCCATTGTGTGTGACTAGAACAATCTCTTTATCCATTTCCTCAGTGTGGCCTAAGCCAGACTAGTTGCCCTGAGAACTCCTGGGCATTCATCTGTCTCTCCCTCCCCCATCTCACTATAAGAGCCCTGTGATTACAGATGTGCACCACATCTGGCTTTCCCTGGGTTCCGGGATTTGAAGTTGGGACCTCAAGCCTGTCTGGCAAGGACTTGATCCACTGAGCCACCTCCCCAGCACAGCTGGTTTTTTATCCTGGGGAGCGGTCTCCTTCCCCCAGTTAACTTATTTCACAGCGAAATTTGCATACATTCTAGCTTCCGTCTCTTCGTTTTCTAAAGACTGTAAGATGTACAGCCACAGTGGGAAGGAAAGCAGATCCCCAGACTTTTGGTCAAACTGTAAACAGGTCCATTTTCCTTTCCCAACATCTATGTCCTAATTCCGAGGAAACACAGGTGGATCTGTTTTCTCTCCCGGCCGTTAATAAAACACCGGACAAAGGCAACTTAAGGAAGGGCCGATTCCTTTGGGCTCCCGTGGGAAGAAGGCATCTCAGGGAGGTGCCCCAGCTCCCCCGGCCGGAGCATCAGGTGATATTGTGTCATTAGTCAGGAAACGCTCGTGCCCAGCTGCCTGCGACCTCCCTTTGCCTTTTTTTTTTTAAATTCAGCGTGTGTCAAGATGCTACCCCCATTCAGGGTAGCTCTCTTCCTCCTCAGTCAGCCCATTCAGACACACTCAAGAAGCATACCTCTTTGGTGAGTCTCAATCCAGTCTAGCTGACAATTAAAATTAATCACAATGAGAAAACGGAGGTGGCAAGTTTTTTGGCCCTGTGTGCCTGGTAATACTACTATGAACAGTGTGCGCAATTACTGGAGTTCTTGCTTCCAACTGACTGGGGTAACAGGAGGGGAGCTGTGTGTTCTTGCGGTAATTCTTCAACCCTTCTCGGGTTACCAACCTGATCTCCACCCCCACCAGCAGTGTTGAAGCGCACCCCGGACTTTGACTCTGCATGATCGAAACTGTCCCTGGACGGGTCTCCAGACTCCTTACCCACGACGCACAGGCTAGGAGAAGTCGCCTAGCCGTTTCCTGTTTAAGGCTGTTTACAAAAGATCCTCCAGAGTCACTAAGGCACACTCGCCACATCCACTCGTGGATCTCCATAAACTTCTTTCCTAGAGACCTCCGCTCGGCCTCGCACAGAACCCCACTTAACTCCTGCAAAGCTGGAGCCCGGGGCACAAGGCAGCAGCTGTGCTCAAACGCTTCGGCCTTGCCGGTCGCGGGCTGCTCTGGCACACGGAGCCCCGCCCCGCTCCCATGCCCTGTCCCTGCCCAGGCAGGCCAGCCCGTCCCGAGCCTAACGCCGAAGGAGACAAAGGGAGAGGCGTGCCGCCCCTGCCGGGGTTACTCTCGGTCAGCGCCCGCCCCCGGGTTACTCGCGTTCACTCGGCCCACAGCGCCTGACCCCGCGCAGCCAATCAGCAGCCGCGCTGCGGCTCGGCCGGCGCCCGCTCCAATCAGGAGGCGCCGCCCCTGCAGCTTGCACCGCGAAGTGGCCACCGCAGATGGAGGCCAGGCAGAGGTGAAGTGGCCACCGGGGATGGAGGCCAGGCAGAGGTGAAGTGGCCACCCCAGGTGGAGGCCAGGCAGAGGTGAAGTGGCCACCGCAGATGGAGGC